AAACCTCACATCGTGGAAAGTGAAGAATTCTTAAAGAGTTCTTTTATATTCCAACGATAAATGCATTGTAGTTTTTACTAATAACTATTTATTTGCAATAATACATGTCTTAATTGTCTTTCAAAACAGTTTCCTAACTTACATGAGATGTTATTTATTCAACCGACAAATGAACACGTTTATGACTTGTGTATTGATTTACATACATACGACACTAGAATTAGTTGTATTACTTTTTTGTGTCCATGCGCTGGGCTTTTTGTTATTATTTTTTTCTAATAACTTTTTGAAAAAAATGTATTTCTGACGATTCTTCTCAAACAATGTTTAATCTGTGAAAGCAAATGCATCGAACATTTCAAGTGATTGAAAATAGTCAATTTTATTTCCTACTCTTACAGTTCAATGTTGTGTTGTCATTTTGACGTTATGTAAGTTTAAAAGATAATATTTGCTGTTATTTACTTTCTGCCTTTCATTCAACACACCAACAAAGTAAGTCTAGGTAAATGTAAACAATGCGAATAAAAGTGTTGAATTTGACTAAATTCAAGTATAGTTCACCGTATTAAGTATAAGTTTCTCGTACTACCATTCCACAAACATGATAAAAAAGTTATTTTTATCACTTGCATTGTCTACATTTGTATTATTTCTTGAGGATTTTCTTGCTTACTTTTTATCATTTTTTGTAAAGTTTTATATAGAGCACGATAGTCCGTTAAATGGATGAATCAATTTCATGTTTTGTTCTGCATGAATAGACGATTACTGGCAATATCATATGATAAAGTTGAATGGTTGAGTTTTGTTTTTTTTAAATTAATATTTCTGAAGATTTTACTTAGACAATGTCGTAAACTTTCCACAAAATTAAACAAATTAACAATCAAGGTACCCAATATCACCGACAATGTTTTAATTATAATACAAAATCAACAATTATATAACAAAAAACCCGAATGAAGTGCTTTCACTGACACGTGGGTAGAAAATTTCAAAAAGAAAAGGACTTTCTGTTGGTTTCATGCTCACTTGAGTATTTGCTCTTTGAAGTAACCTACATTTCAAAACACATCACAAATTGTGCGGTTTTACTGTTTTCGGTTAAACAAAGATTAAATTTTATCAATCAATCTTATATGAATCAAACTTCCTTTTAAACTTTTAATCAATATATTCTGTCTGGCTATTCCACCCTTTCTGCAAGTAAAGAAAAATTTGCATTTCCTTTTTTTGGCCAAAGTTGACATGTAGCACGTTTGTCACGATCTCGTTTACTATTAACTGAAATTTTCAAATTTCAATAAGCGAAGAAAGAATGGATGATCACGTGATTACACTGACCTTTTCATATAGCTGGATTGTGTAGTCAATAGTGTAAAATTTATTGTGATATAGGCTATCGGTATTTGACACGATTTTTGTAATGTATGGTTTAAATGTTCTTTTAGGTATTAGAGTGGCTACAGGTTGTCGGTATGCCTTGTTTGGAAAAACCTGTGGAGATTGCACAGTCGTATGGACAGGCGGTCAGTTACCATGGTAATTTTGAGAAAGTCCTGGCTCCTGCTAAGGTATTATGGTTCGGATTTGGAAGTAAAAATGACAGTAGATTATATCAGTTTGTCACAGGCACAGACAAGATCACCAGTGGTTTGTAACCTTTACTTAACCCTCCCCTTCTTTGCTAACCCTTTCTTTGAAAGGACACAGGTCCACCTGGAGAGAATCTAAAACTTTGAGCTTAGTGTTGACAAATTCCTGACTGCACAACTTTTCTTAAATATTGTAAGTATTTGTCCCAAAACTGTAGATCTTCATTGAAGACTGTACAAATTTATCCCACTTGGTACATAATTCTTTCATGCAATAGATCTATATCCCATATTGTACGACTTTATGTGATTGGTCTTATTGCTTATACTACGTGGTTTCTATTCTGTGTAAATAATTGGTCTGACTGGTTATACCACGTGGTTTCTTGTTCTTGTAAACGATTGGTGTAACTTGCCATATTTTGTGTTTTATCAATCAATGGATAATCCACTTAGATGAAGCAAGAAAGAAGAGAAAAAATTTCAACTCGAGAAATTGAAGACAACAAGTTGTAAATCATCATGATACACAGTGACTTAGCTAGCCTGAATTTAAGCCACTGCTTTATTTCTAAAGAAATGAACAATAATAATCTTTAGGAACTTCGGTAGCAGGAGTAAGTCTGTAAGCTGGCTAGGTTACTGATGACATTTCATAAACTTTCCTTCCTTCTTATCGTTGCTTTACTTCTTTTGAAGAGAATAGTGGAACTTTTGATCTTTTCAATAACTGTGTGGCATAGTTAAATATTATTTTCATTAAAGACATCTCTTACGTCATTACAGTGTTCTGAATGGAGATTTTAAAAACTGAAACACATGGCATTGAAGAGTATGGAAGTATCAAACTCTTCTAAAGGTGTCGTTTTACTGAGGAAAACATGGAAGAATTTCTTCAAGAATTTCCCATGTGGACGAAGGAAAGATTAAATAACTTAAATGAACTTTCTGGTAAATTGAAGAACGAAGATCTGCAAAATCAGGCCGAAAAATCTGTTTCAAAGTACAAGGAAGTCGAGGAAATGTTTTCAAAACGGTCAGGAAACATTACAGAGGGCGGCCGTACGCGTACAGGTATGTTTTATGAAGATCTTTTAACCTAGCAAGTATGGTGGTGTTAGCGATTTTCAACTGCCGTCAATCGATATTTTTGTCACCACTTTATTTACTCCTATTGAAATAACAGTTCATTACAAATATCGTTCTATAAACAAACTGTGTAGTACGTTGCTTTGGGGAAACTTGTGATTATTGATTGTGAATGCTGTTTGATCATCCATAAAAATCCCCTTTATCCATAGATCTCTGACGCATACACAAACTGTACCAGCGAGGGATCGTCATCTACATCAACATCGAACTCAACCTCGTGTGCAAACGATGAGAAAGGAGACTTGGACAGTGGTGATGATGATGATAAATAAGATCTTCCTGAAGATTTATCTCCTACCAAGAAAGCTGCTCGTTCGGACGTCAATGAAAAAGAACAACAGTTGTTTTATAACTTAAAAGATGTATGTTTATGATGACGTTAATTGAGCTTTTATCCACTTTGTTTTGTTCGCTGTAATTCTATTTTTTTTTCTTTTTCAACAATTATTCCTATGATATTTCCCTCCACACACAACCAGAATTTCTGCCATATTTTCTTTTACATATAAGAAATCCTTAATGAAATCTTTTCAAAATACGATATCAACTTGTTTGATCAATAAACGTTTGTTCTTTGTAACATGAATGCAAAAGAACTCCTTAGCTAGTGAATGAAAATGGTTTTGTTTTTAGAGTGCTGGAAAACAAAATGAACAAACTTATCAAAAACTTTCAGAAAAAAACAAAGAGTAAGTTTGCAAGCTTTATTTTAAAATGAACATCAATTTTTTGTCCATAAACATCCATATAAATTCCTCAAAGACTTAAGGCCATTATTGTTTTTTAGAAAGGGATATATTAGGGATGAATAGGTCACTACCGAAAGAGATTGTGTCAAATCTTTGGATTACATAATCCAGGTAATCTTGGAGTTAATTTTGTCAAGTGTTTACGTCATTAGTAATTTCGTAAAATTTCTTCGTGTAGAATTATGTAAAGCAAATGAAGAGTGACGATCTACGGGCGTCATTACGGGAAAGGAAAAATTTGATATTTGAAAATATTGAACGATTGTATGACTTTCACCAAAGGTAATTTTTCTGTTTCCAACATTTCTTTCTTGTTGACAGGCATATATCTGTCGTTTAATCACGAAAGTACATAGTGGTCACCATCTTGCTCTATAGAACTTGCTCTATATTCATCCGACTAGATCAAAGAAAGACGACTAGTCCCAGACCTCTCACTCTTCATACTTTTCAAATTTCATATGGCGCAAAACATTAGATGTAAAAAAGTCTTGAAACAAGAATAAAAATGCGAAAAATATATGGATAAATGTACTGGATAACACAAATGTCTACTCCCAAGACTAAAAATACAGGCGTAAGAGTATCCGACAAATTGGATCGTTTGAACGAGCCTTAAAGGACACATGCAAGCTAGAAAACAACTTTATTTTATTGTAATGCCTATAGCGTGAAAATAAGACTTACCAAGTTTCAAAGTTGTCCGCAAAATATTTCAAAAGATATTTAGGATTATAATCGGTAAAAACACGATATTCGACGACAATTGCTAAAACGCCGTGAGATTGTTTAGAGATCTTGGGAACTGGGAAAGAAGTGACGTATTAGTTGACATAAACAAGCATCGTTCTTATATCGTTCTGACTTATATTGCAGTGCTTGCACAGCTTTATTGGTTCTGTGTATTACTCTTTTATTTATCAAAGATTATGGATTCTTCTGAAGAAGCCGATTATTATATTATCATAAATAACAATAAAATTTCTTATACATGTTTGAGCCTTTGGCCAACGCGCCAGGTATAGTCATAATGATGACAATCTCCGTCATCGGAAAGCGAATAAACACATTCACAGAAATGGAAATGTTGAATGGTTAGTTGCATTTTATTGATGCTTCATTGTTTTCCCAAAGTAAAAGTGTTTTATCTTTTAGGTGCAGTGTAGCTTTTGTGTGGTCATGAGGTACGCAGGACGGAAAGTATATCTTGCAAAGGTAAACAATACTGATCCTCTGATACATGGCGATCATATTTGCATTACAAGAGGAAGAGTGCCACAGTTATGTACAAACGAAGCTGTCGTAAAAACAGCGATGGTCGTTATTCACACATGACCCCGTGGACCTATGCCTGAGTGAAGAAAACGAGTGAGAGTCTGATCCATTGTAGCTATTGCTCATCGTCGACATGCTTTCTGTATCAGACCATAGGCGCTATCCTCAAAATGTTCAATTTCACATGACGTCGTCTGTGTGCTGTGATTTTGTTGAAATGCTCAACCTCCGTACCTTAGCATAAAATTATCGTATTGCTGGATTTTTCACAAAAATCAAAACGGCCGAAATGGAAAGTCTATACCTCTACTTATCATATTTGGCACTTTTGTTTGAGTGGTTCTTGACCTTACGTGTTTTTGCGGACGGATTGTTATGTCTGCTTGGCATTTCACATTGCGCTCCTAAGGTACAAAGAATTTTCTATGAGTTAAAATAACACAGAAAAAATCAAACGACATTAGTCTGAATTAGTTACCACTGTATATGTTTGTGTTTCGCTGTCTACATATATTTTGACATCTTTATTTTAGACAAACTTCCTTTGAGGTAAAACGCATAAACATTTCGAGCCGATGTCGACACATCGTGGTCGTTGCCTACAAGAAAGTCGTCATGTTCTGCAAGAACGTCGTCAATAATCTAAAATTATAAAATTGTCCTCAATTTGGTAATGCTATATAAGCAGTTTTGATAAATGTAAACAAATATTGCTAACTATAACTATAATAATCACCTCACCTTCGTCTCTTCTGTTGCAGTTCTAAATTTGTTGGCTGCTTCCTTTTAGATGCTACACTTGTGGGTTCCACAGAGTATTCAAAAATCGTGGGTACAGCAATCCTTCTTAAGGCAAGCCGTCTGCTTTCATCCATCCTACTGATTGCATCGCTTCAAAATTTTGCACGAAGCACGAACTCTCGAAATGTTGCGAGCACAATTTTGAGCTCTTTGTTAATTCCAATTTTTGCGTCGTTTCGGGAAACGAAAAAGAAACCTTTGCTGCGTTTGGTGGTTTAGAGAACCGTTTTACAATTAAATGCGGCACAATAAACCAAATTTTCAATGCTAAATTGTCGTGTTGTTAAAGTTACCAATATATTTGAACAGAAGCGCGCAATTGACGCGTTTGTAGATATCAACTATTACGTCACAACGACCTTTTTCCAATCGGTAGCCGTCGTTAGCTCGTCGGGCATTTTCAATACGTTATCAGTGAAGCATCAACTTTAAACCTCCATATCTTCAAAAATATTTATCCTTTGACTCTCAAACTTTGGTGAACTATTAGTTGGAGCTATACCTTTATGTAAAGTACAAAAATAACAATCCGAATTTTATGTTGCATGTGTCCTTTAAAATAGTTTATCATATTTTTGTTTAGGTTTTGAGTCTGTTATTATTATTCTTCGTCGTGTTTGCAGCAGCCTTTACGGTGATATTGAATGATATAGAAGGATTCGGGAAATTTCGAAACTCGATGTTAACTACAGCGATCATGATGATTGGAGAAATTGATTTTAAGGATACATTTCTTCGTCACCATTGTTTCGACATGTTTTACCCACAACAGATTGTTCTTTTTGTCGTCTTCGTCGTCGTCATGCCTGTCGTTATTATGAACCTCATTCTCGCCCTTGTCATTAGGTATGTAAGTAAGATTAGGCTGGACGCCAAATTGCGGAAACATATTCATACGGTAATAAAATTGGTAAAACGATCGAATGGAGCATTATTTTTTAATATGATATAAAATAAATAAGAAAAGGTCTTTGCACCATTAAAACAACGAACCAGATTAAAAGTTATGAATTTCTTGTAACGTGCAAATTATTTTTTATTTTCTTTGTATCAACCAATTTAGGTGAACATGATCATCAACCTAGAAAGAAAGAAATTCATATTTTCTTATTTCACGAAAAAAGAAAAGGCACTTATAGATCCTTTGGTGGAATGGCCCAACCAAAAACGTGGATTTTCAAATTTTGTCGATGGAATTATATTTTATGATTTTTCCTCAGATAAAGAAGACGTGAGCTCGGAGAAAGTCGAAATAAATGAAGATCTAGTGACGTTTATTAAAATGGTTAAAGAATTACAAAATGTAGAATGGAAAAGTAATCAAAAAGTAGGAAGAAAATTCCAGAGTAATCAAGAATATTATTCGAATTCAAGAATAGGAAAATGACTCTGCGCAGTCTTAAGGTAAACTTAGTTCTCTCTAAATTTATACTCGTGTAATTTCCTGTAGACATTGTTAGCTTAGATTAGACCAATTAAATTCATACATTTTTATGTTTCACGTAAACATTGTCTGGAGATTTTTTTGTCTGTTATTGATTCATCATCACCGACAAACGTTATTTAGTTTATAATGTCGTGTCGGTGGTGTACACTGAGTGTATAAAAAAACTGAACAGTTACGAAAACGTCGCTGTAGTTTTCAGCGCTCAAGATCTGCATAAACATTTGGTGGAATAGGAAGTTTGACTTCTAATGGTTCATCTGACTGTAAAATAGCGTAAGAATTGTGTTACCGAGAAACACTTTTGAAATAGCCTGCCCAAGAAAACAATATAGCCAAAAAGCAATTGGATAATTTTCTTCTTTTCATTCTCTGTTGTCCATTCATCATTACCTACACTGACACACGTTTATATTTTAGGTAGTGTAAAGACTGCTTTATGATCACTTTTGTTCATATTGGAGAGGATGTTATTGATCCCAATTAAAATTTTCCTTTTTTAGACGAAAGTGTTAAGTCTTTAAGCTATTGAAATGTCTATCTTCATAAAGATAATGCTATGAATAAACTATGTTTACATCGAAATGACAAAATTAAAAGATCTAAAATATTCAAACGTTTCATCAAAGATATTGTCCAAGGCTTTAACGTTGAAGTGTGCATATACACTATTCATGAAATATTGCGAAAGAATTTCATCGAAAAGATGCCTGGAAACTGAAGAATATTTGAAATTTTTCTACGATCATTATGCATAATGACGTCACTGGTTGTACTAAACGGATATTAAAAAACTTTAATAACTTGAGAAATGCGAATGTAAAACGACATTCACGAACTGTTTTAGAAAGTACGCCGTCGTTTTAAAAGTTCTAATAAACGAGAATGTAAAATTAATACCGAAATCTTTCCTTTCAAAAGAAATTTAACATTCTTGATAATAACTTAACTTGAAATGATTAAATTCTCAGCGAACATACAACACTAAATGAAATTGGTTTTTAATTCAAGAAGAATTATTAATTCATCATTATATAAAAAATATACATACAATCTGTTAAGTAATTATGCCATTTCTAACGTATGGCTTTGAAAAACAAATTGTTTCGCTCAAATCCACGACCGTAGGAAAATACATGATTGGGGGAGGGGAGGGGGAAAGGCTTGTATTCATATGTGCATTCTATTATCCGCTGAAAACATTGAATTTAAAAAATCAAAAGAACTAATAAATAGATACAATCACCCGTTTATTGAGCAAGCTACGTCCTTTAGTCTTATTTCTAAGAACTCACTGATCGCTAAGCTACAAAGTTGACAAAACAAGTGTTCGAGTTCAAGCAGGTATTTAGTAAAACTGCACTTCATTCAATATATTCTGTTTAATTCGTTGAGACTTTGACGCACAAGTTGACAAAAAGGATCCAATATTACAAAATATTTGATCCAATTTGTTATTGGTATTTCTGTGTATAAATGAACACATCACCATTACAGTAGCAAGCCTTTGTGTATGATCAAGCCTCGCAAATTTCAGCTTAGATATTATTTCATAACAATAAAATAGAGTATGTAAATGCTATTTTTTCATCTTGTAGACACAAGAGGATGAACAATGGAAACTCTTTCTTGAGGGCTACTTGTTTGAGGATCATTTTAATGAACTCGAGAAGATTTGTGAAGAGGCTTATGGTGGCCATTCTGAGCTTTTTAATGAAGAGTTTCTGAGGCCTATTTGCTAGTTACTTCTGGGACTAAGGACGTCAACCAAGGTTTGTGTACCTAAAGATGTTTCTCTCTGTCGTAGGGTATATTGTTATTTCCATATGATCTTAATAACGCAAGATCAATAACTCATTTAAAGTAAATGACAAAATATTTTTGACATAAAAGGTTTTGAATTTACTTTAAGAAATCTTCTGTACAAATGAACTAAACTATATGATACATATGAATTACCAATCTTTAATTCTTACTTAACTCTACTTCCATGTCTTGAGCTCTCGGAAAAATCAAATTCAAAATTTTCTGTCATGTATCCTTGTATATATTTGACAATGTAAAACATTTAGTTCATTCATATTGCAGGTGACTTAATGTTAAGTCGAAACATGTTTATGTCAAAAAATTTCTTATTTGCTTTAAATGCCATGTATTGTTGTATTTGCAAATTGGTCAATATATCAATATCAAATAAAAATATTTGAAAAATATTCTAATTAATGTATTTATGAAAATGTACAGCAAATATACTTCATCACAAACAGCAAAATAAACAAGTTGTATTAAACTGATCATACTTCAAAAGGCTTAGAAATGTTGAAAGAGTGTGTTTATCTCTGCAACTGTGAACTAGCTCTGCAAAAGTCTATAAACCATAGTTTTATTTATTTCCAATTTTTATGTAAGTTTATCTCTGCCAAACAATGAACTAGGTCATACTAAAAGCCAGGTACGCTCAGTTTTAATCCAGTTTTGATCAGAGTTTATCTCTATAAACAGCAAATTAGAGTCTGTTTGAGGCGAGGCATTCCATTTCAGTTAATCAGGGTTTATCTATAAATGTTACTCATCCCATCATCCCTTTTCTGTATCTGTTGAATGGTGTTTAATGGTATAAAATTCTGCTAGAGACATTTGATCCAAAGTTTCCAGCAGAAACTGACTGCGTACATATATTTGAAGGTTTAAGAGACTCGTTATGCATTCTGACGTCACTGGTTGTACAAAATAGCCCGTCTACCAAATTCAATGTCTTAAGAATAAAAAAGAACATTGTTTTACGTAGATAGGTTACTGTCATTTTAAATGTATTTTTGAAGGAAACTATAATTTATATATCAAAATTTTTGCATCATAATTGCAATTTTTGCATTTTGAATTTTTCAAAAAATATCATCGGGATTCCAAGAAAAATCTTTGAATTCGATCACTCCTGCGTTGTATGAACGTTCTGCCTTAAGTCCGAATTCTAACCCTTTTTTTCCAGAGCAATATTTTTATCGCACACCATTACCTGCAGTGAGGTAGCCTGGTAGCCAGTGACGCAGTCAGTGACGTAGTGCGGGAGCAAGTGACGTTGTCGTTCTATTTAAATTTGAGAACTTTATTAGTTTTCTTTTCTTTGAACATTTATTGTTTTTTAAAATGTAAGAACGTCAAAAAAAAATACTGAACATGAGTAAATAAACTGACCTGGTTACTGTCTACGTCGTACATATAGCATGGTAAATTGAGGGGTGTTAAGGGGATGTGCACATTTATATGGTATAACATGCAATATCTTTAGTGGCTGTCAATTGATCTTGTTTCGGTGTATGATTAGCATGATTTTGACCTACGTAAACTGATGCTATTGCTAATGTTAAAACGTATGACATTTTGCGGTTTTAATTGGTGAGACGTAATGACTTTAAAAGCAAACGAACTTTTGGCTTTAGTTAACTTAAATCAAGTTTATGGAGAAAGCTGAAGAACCGGTGGTGATTTTGCGATTGTTTGTCTGTCTAGCTTCTATGTTGCTTCTGAAAGTCATTAGAATTTGCGATTTCTATGTGTGTGAAGTCTCCTCGATATTCCATTTGCTACAACATGAAAGCAGAGGACTACGAGTTTCAAAATTATGCTGTATTTACATTCAAATATTTGACAACTTTTTATGTTTTTCAACTTTGAATTTCTTCTGTAATCTAATGCTTGTATTTTTCATCTCCATAGGAGATGCAACCAGGTAGCGTTCGCATTGCCTACATCCTCGATCGAAAGGATTCACATCTATTGATGTTCAGTGCTGATGAACTAAACGAAAAACTTAAATTTCAAGTGAGTTCGGGGGTGTTAGGGTAGGTGGGTGGAAAGACTCGTGTTGCCGTTTTGCAAAAAGGTTCATGAAAATGTCTGTTTTTAGTTGAAATTGCTGTCGTCTTTTGATGATGTGCTGTCTTCCATTTGAATGGATCAAATTCCCACGACCTTCGCCGGAAGCTTTGAGTACGATCACGATGCTTGGCTGCAGTTTCGATTGGTGAGAATTTCATCACGTTGCACGATTGTGTATTTTGACACATACCGTTAACATTGTCACGTTTCTGAGACAATTTGTTATGGAATCTTAAACATTTGTATCACATTTTACATTGTACATTTTTTGATAAAACTTTAAAATTTGACACGCGTTGATAACATTGTACATTTTGACACATGTTAATTACTTTGTATATTTTGACACATGTTAATTACTTTGTACATTTTGACACATGTTAATTACTTTGTACATTTTGACACATGTTAATTACTTTGTACATTTTGACACATGTTAATTACTTTGTACATTTTGACACATGTTAATTACTTTGTACATTTTGACACGTGTTAATTACTTTGTACATTTTGACACATGTTAATTACTTTGTACATTTTGACACATGTTAATTACTTTGTACATTTTGACACATTTCTAGTCTTTGCTGAAGATTCGTACATTCGTAAATCGGACTATAAGATGTTCAGCTATGACATAATTCATGTGATATGTTTTTCACGAACCTTCCTTGTGCGTGTTTGTACAATAGTTTGCCTTGATTACGTGCAGTCAAATCTCTCGAAGGATCGAATAAAGCTTTATTTTAATAGGATTTGAAGATTAGTCGACATAGATTTTTGTTTATTGAATTTTTTTCTTTAACCTTTGTAGCTTCATGGAACAATTCTATGTTCATCTAACTACACTTGTAAAAGGAGACTCTCTCTATTATAAACTTTGAATAGTTGAACGTCTCTAATGTAAACTTGAAATAGAGGAGCGTCTCCAATATTTATCTTTGAAACCTGTTTTTTTAGAAACAAGAACCCTTCATGACAGGTTGTCGAAGTGCAACAAAGCTGGCTCTGACGATAATAGATGAACTTGGAATAGGAAAATTTGGTAAAACGGTGGAAGAATGTCAGAGATAGCTCGAAGAACACGATAAAAAAGTGAGCGCTATTTTTTCAGACAGACGCATGTTTGCGTTGCAAGTCTCAGGTGAACAACTTGTGTTGGACATGCAGCAGACAGATAACTCGAAGAAAACACAAGACTGGAAATATACCATGAAATTGTCTCGAAATTATATTTCTAAGTGAATCAAGTTTTCTCCAAGCTGGAAGTTTAGTATAGAAAACGAAAACGAGAGCTCGAGGATTGTCTACAGTTGAAATGCTTTCAAGAGGAATACGCTAAAGTATGAAATTATTAGGATGTTTGCCCAGTTTATTGGAAGAGTTTTAATACCAAAATATACAATATTTTTGCCGTCGTAATAAAGTAAACTGAAGTGATATTAGTGAATTTGCACTTTGCCTTATCAAAAACTGTTAATCTGCTTCGAATCTTTTTTATCTCATCTGCATTGGGCCTCGGCTGGCGTTTGAGTGGCTGGTAGCAGAACAACGCTGTTTGTTAGAAATTTCTAAAGAATATTTAACTCCTACTCCAGCTGACATAACTCTGGCTTTTGCTAAAAAAAACTTCGGCTTCCACTAAAAAGTTTACATGACCAATAATTTAAGAAATTCGATAGAGAATATTGTCCTTCTGGTGGTACTGATATTGACTGGTTTTTCAAATATTGTTACAACCAAATTTGCAACTTTTGCTTTAAAGTGCCTGTAACACGAAATTTTGCTAGTTAAATTATGTTTGCAATGAATAGAACTTTTAAAATGACAATGTACTTTCTAAAACAGTTAATGCATATCTCTTTCACTTCGCAAGATATTGAAGTTTCTGTTATTTCTATTTTATCTAACTTGTGACGTCATATTGCATGATGAGTTCCCACAATGTTTTAAATACTTTTCAGTTTCATGACAACTTTATATCTTATACCATTAACGTCAAGCAAAGGGAACTCCTGTCCTTGTGAAGTAAAGAGTATCGTGAAATATGCCTAATACTCCTAGTTCTCGTTACGCAAATTGACGTCACAAGTTCGCAGATAAATCGGACAATAAAAACCTCAATATCTCCAAGAAATAAAAGTGATGTGCATGGACTGTTTTTAGAATGTCCATTTGTCATTTCAAAAGATCCTCTGCTAAATAAAAGTACAACTCAGTTGAAATTTTAGTGTCATGGACACTTTAAGGAAGAAAATGCTTTAGTTATGTAAGACTTGTGCTTCCTTGAGAAACATCCTTGTCTCAGCATCACTTTATGCAAAACAAATTGTCGTTCTTGGACTATATAATTGTCAATACAATAAAGCGACATATTTATCTGTCATACAAAAAGCGCTATTTCTGTAGTACGCTTGTTCATCAATAATAACCTCGTATTTTTATCACACTTTTCTTGTTAGGGAAAATAAAAAATTCTTTAATATATAAGCTATGTACACTTGGCAGTGATTTAGATTTTGATGGGCGAAGACTTGACACAAAACAATGGTCAAATCCATACACTGCAGTTTAAAGATTCTGAACAAAAACTAATGCTATAAATTTTCTTTTACCTCAGTCTTTAGTAAAATACTAAAGTCATTTATTTCCTCGGTAATTTACTATAATAATCAAAGGCTATTCAATTTAATATTAAAAAGTTTTGCTGAGTTATAATGATCTGATTATTTGCAGAATATTTCGTGGTTACAATACATAATTTTGCCCAAAAGGTAAAACTTCAGCAATGGCTTCTGATCGTGATTTATTCATTGAAGGAAGATATGTCCATGAAGAACTGCTTCCCATTTTGAAACACTCCACTGAATTAAGATATTCACGTTTATCAATCTCACCTCCCATGACAACAATTGTATCACCTGTTATAACTGCACAACAACAACTTCTCTTTTCCAACATGGATGGTAAGACTGTAATCTCACCTGTATTACAGTCATACATTCTAACGCTGTTAAATGTTTTTTCTCTATCATAACCTCCAAGAAGAACAACTTGATCTCTCCATGGAACTGTTGCCATGTTAAACAATGGACAAGGTAATGGAGGCATTTCCTTAAATGTAAGAGTCCTTGGATCAAATTCCAAAACACTGGATAAAACTTTGTTACCTTTTCCCAGTCCTCCAAAAATAAGAACTTTATCATCAACAACAACAGCTTCATGCCAAATACGTGGTTCAGGCATAAGACACAACTCTTCTAAAACATAAGATGTTGTACCAGTAATCTTTATTTCACTGATCAAATCTGATTTTCTTTGGCCAACAATGTTTCCTCCAATGGAAAGGATTTTTTGTTTATAAACAACAGTTCGATGACCCCAACATTCATAAGGAAGCTGTGTGGGAAATTTGCTCCATGTTAAAGGTGACTGTTTTATATTCAATGTCTCCATTGACTTGCTGCCCCATCCTCCAACAACCAATAAATTATCATTATAAATAAATGATGAAGCATTCTTGTGTCCACTTTCCATTGATGCAATCTTAAACCAATTCTTCTCCATCCATGAAAATATTTCAGCACTCTTGAAGGAACCAAATGGGTAACCTCCAGCAATCAAAATATCTTCTTTTCCTGAGTTCATCATTCCCTCAATTGACGATGGCAATGTTTTCACATGTTCATTTTTAGTCATCTTTCCCAATATTTGAAACATCATGACTTTCATTTCTTTCATTTCTTTGGTCACTGTAGAAAGATTTTGTTGAATATTTCTTATTTCTTTCCTTGATTCCATCATTTTTTTGGTCACTGTAGAAAGATTTTGTTGAACATCTTTTATTTCTTTCCTTGATTCCATCATTTCTTTGGTCACTGTAGAAAGATTTTGTTGAACATCTTTTATTTCTTTCCTTGATTCCTTCATTTCTTTGGTCACTGTAGAAAGATTTTGTTGAAACATTTCTTTTATCTCCGCAAAATCGTGAGAAGGAATTTTTCTGTGTTCACATAACTCAGTTTCATGTTTAATTTTGTCTCGTTTGTTTATCTCCTTACCACAACGTTCATTAGAACACAACACTGGAGCAAAGCCACAATTTTGAACATGTCGTTCAAGATCTTCAACGTTTGTAAATTCTTTGCAACCACGAATGGCGTAGTCGCAGTTGATCTCTAACTTTGAAATCATATTATTTATAATACGCGCTGGAAGAAGTGTAGCTACCGTCAAATTATTTTGACATTGAGGACATCTTTGTGCATTAACTCGTAGATGTTCTTTAATACAAGAACGACAAAAGATGTGTTCGTTATGCTTACACATTCTTGCGTCTTTAACGACGTTGAGACAAATTGCACAGCGAAAATTTTCATCAACAGCAGTCTTAAATCTCGATTCATCATAGCCACATTCATAATCATTAGGACGATAAGCCATTTCATTCGTCTTCCCGTATAATTCAGTGTTAAGATTAATTTAAGAAGTGACGAAATTATTTGTTTATCGCTACAACACATAATACGGTGGCCCATAAGGGACACAATACTTCCATGCAAAATATTACGTTTTTCAATGAACATTTAATATTTCCGTGCAAAATACTATGTTTTCCATGGAACATTTAATATTTCCGTGCAAAATACTATGTTTTCCATGGAAAATTTAATATTTCCGTGCAAAATACTATGTTTTCCATGGAACATTTAATATTTCCGTGCAAAATACTATGTTTTCCATGGAAAATTTAATATTTCCGTGCAAAATACTATGTTTTCCATGGAACATTTGTTGCTTCGCCGTACAATATTGCTTGTTTTCCGTGCAACGTTCAAACTTGTGCGCGCGCATGAGTTGAATATAATGCAGTTACTTGAAGTTTCGAGGAAATCTATTTGGTAAACTTATCATTGAATCTCTTAAAACACGAGTCTGAAAGTGGAATTTTTAAGGCAAAATGTTCTGCCAAAGTTGTGGAACAAAGCTTTTGGATAAAGCCAAATTTTGCCACAACATTTTGTGCATTATCAGATGTCGGTAAGTACACAATCCTATAGTTTATAAAATACAAGTGCACGAACGTTCGTTCAATTGTAAAATGGAAGTTGTTCATTCTACTTTTATTTATTTAAAATCTTCTTATCCCTATTCTTCTCATATGTTTTCTCATATTTTGGCTGTTGTATTATTTTCTTAAACAATATATTTCAAACTGTTTTAAACACAGAAATAGGCTCAAAACCTCCAAGCAAGACCATTGGGTAAAGCCCTTTCATTTGAAGAGTTTCGTAAGAAAGAGGAAGACAGATCATCAAAATTTAAGCCAAAACCTGGTGGAAAAAAAGCAAAGTTGTCAAAAGAGGTGAAGGTGCAGGTTGGCATTGTGAAAGACAAAAATGGTGATGGTGTATTGGTAAGGGTGAAGTCAAGGAGAATAACAATTGCAGTTGATGAAGATGTTGATGGACATTCTCTTTTTGAAAAAGCAATTGATAAACATTCAAGGCATCATAAACAATTTAACAAGTATAAAAAATATATTCTTTTGTATAATGACATGTCAATTGTGAGGTATTTACCCCAGACCAACATACCATTTGTGCTTTCAAAATATAAAGAAGATTTGTTGCTGCCATACTCCAAAATGTATTTCTGGCTATGTACAGAAGATGATTTTGAAAATTCAATTTCTGATGGAAGTTCTGACAAGGAACTTGAAGAGATTTCGATGAAGTATCATAAGTCTCAACCTTCAACATGAAAGTCATTGGCCACAACAGGTTGTGGGGATTTCAATGAAGATGCAAGTAATAAAATCCTCCAATCCTCTTCTTTGTCTTCTCAAAGTTCATTTACCTCAACGTCTCAAGTTTGTAGTATGTCACAAGGACAATTGTCTCAGCATGGAATAGAAAAATATCTATTGCAACATCAATGCCCTACATGTCTTGGATACTATTCACGAACAGACATAGAGGCTCATGCAGACATGTGTGCAGAAAGGTGGATAGACCCAATTGGCAAGTTATCAGATAACGATCAAAATAACCTGGAAAACACACTCATTGCTGAAGAGGAAATTGGACAGCCAACTGTTGCCACTATGCAAGAAGTGGTTCATCTAATTCAGGACAATGTTAACAGAATGTCGACCAACAGAGTTACTATTCGTAGGCGATTAGCTTTTGCAGATTATGTGGATGCACGGAAACGAAAATGGTTTGCTGAAGGAGGAAATCTTAAAATTTGTTTTGCTAGTGAACCTTCTATTGATGGTGGTGGCCCAAGGAGGGAGTTTTTCACAGGTGAGAAAATCAGTGAAGATTTTTTCAATTCATACTGTACAACTGTGCAAAGAAACCAATATGTAGTAATTTGAATATTTGTTTTTATATACAGGACCGCTCGCGTATTTGTTAGCATACGCTACGCGTATGATACGCGTATCATACGAAAAACATACGCGTATGATACGAGAACGATACGCGTATGATACGAGAACGATACGCGTATGATACGAGAACGATACGCGTATGATACGAGAACGATACGCGTATGATACGAGAACGATACGCGTATGATACGAGAACGATACGCGTATGATACGAGAACGATACGCGTATGATACGAGAACGATACGCGTATGATGCAGGAACGATGCGCGTATGATGCAGGAACGATACGCGTATCATCAAGAACGATACGCGTATCATACGAGAACGATACGCGTATCATACGAGGCGATACGCGTATGATACGAGAACGATACGCGTATGATACGAGAACGATGCGCGTATGATACGGAACGATACGCGTATCATACAAGAACGATACGCGTATCATACGAGAACGATACGCGTATCAAACGAGAGCGATACGCGTATGATACGAGAACGATACGCGTATGATACGAGAACGATACGCGTATGATACGAGAACGATACGCGTATGATACGAGAACGATACGCGTATGATACGAGAACGATACGCGTATGATACGGGAACGATACGCGTATGATACAAGAACGATACGCGTATGATACGAGAACGATACGCGTATGATACGAGAACGATACGCGTATGATACGAGAACGATACGCGTATGATACGAGAACGATACGCGTATGATACGAGAACGATACGCGTATGATACGAGAACGATACGCGTATCATACAAGAACGATACGCGTATCATACGAGAACGATACGCGTATCATACGAGAGCGATACGCGTATGATACGAGAACGATACGCGTATGATACGAGAACGATACGCGTATGATACGAGAACGATACGCGTATCATACAAGAACGATACGCGTATCATACGAGAACGATACGCGTATCAAACGAGAGCGATACGCGTATGATACGAGAACGATACGCGTATGATACGAGAACGATACGCGTATCATACAAGAACGATACGCGTATCATACGAGAACGATACGCGTATCATACGAGAGCGATACGCGTATGATACGAGAACGATACGTGTATGATACGAGAACGATACGCGTATCATACAAGAACGATACGCGTATCATACGATACGCGTATCATAGTATTTTGCATGGAAATATTAAATGTTCCATGGAAAACATAGTATTTTGCATGGAAATATTAAGTGTTCCATTGAAAACATAGTATTTTGCATGGAAATATTAAGTGTTCCATGGAAAACAGTATTTTGCATGGAAATATTAAATGTTCCATGGAAAACATAGTATTTTGCATGGAAATATTAAATGTTCCATGGAAAACATAGTATTTTGCATGGAAATATTAAATGTTCCATGGAAAACATAGTATTTTGCATGGAAATATTAAGTGTTCCATGTAAAACATAGTATTTTGCATGGAAATATTAAATGTTCAATGAAAAACATTATATTTTGCATGGAAGTATTGTGTCCCTTATGGGCCACCGTAGAAATGTCTATTGAAATGTCTATCTTTATAAAGATAATGCTATGAATAAACTATGTTTGCATCGAACTGACAAAATTAAAAGGTCTAAAACAGGGGTCTCCAAACTACGGCCGGCGGGCCAGATGCGGCCCGTTGGGACTCTCAATCCGGCCCGCAGAGACACTTAAGAAAGCCAATTTCACCACTCACATTGAGAAAACTGAACAGACTAATTGTGATTTTGTTATGATATTACTCTTGGTTGAAATTTAACCTTTAAATTTTGAATAAATCTTTTCTTAACTAATGAAGCTTGTGTGATGTGCTTCGTTTTGCGCATTTAATATACGTGACAAGTTTTTTTAAAATAGACATGTTTCGACATCTCATGATGCCATCTTCAGTATAAGTGAAATAATAAATGATACAAGGTTTATATAAAAGTAATATGATACATAAATTATAACAATAAAAAGGAAATAAGATAAAATTAAGGGGGAGCGTCCGAGCGTATTATAAACTAAACATTGTATTGAATTTAAAAACTTGAACATTGAGGTCAGGTTTAGTTTTGTTGATGTGGAGTGCTTCTTTGATTTTAAGGGAGAATGAGGTGTCGGTAGTGTCGATGATTTTGAAGCAAGAGGGTGAATAGTTGGTTTTACATGAGTGAGATTTAAGAAGGTGTGGGTTAGATATGAGAGTTTTTGTCTGTTGTGGTATGTTCCCTGATTCTGGTGGATAAATGGCGCGAAGTTTCGCAAATGTATCTTATTTCCTTTTTCTTGTTGTCATTTATGTATCATATTACTTTTATATAAACCTTGTATCATTTATTATTTCACTTATACTGAAGATGGCATCATGAGATGTCGAAACATGTCTATTTTAAAAAGTACTTCGTTTTATTAAAATATTCGCTCTTTGACCAGCGGTATACAGTTCGTCGGCCCTCAACATGCTGGAGAAAAGTTCATGTGGCCCTCTGGCTGTAAAGTTTGGAGACCCCTGGTCTAAAATATTCAAACACTTCATCAAAGATATTGTGCAAATACACTATTCATGAAATATTGCGAAAGAATTTCATCGAAAAGATGCCAGGAAACTGAAGAATATTTGTAATTTTTCTACGACCATTATGCATAATGACGTCACTGGTTGTACTAAATGGATATTAAAAAACTTATAACATGAGAAATGAGAATGTAAAACGACATTCACGAACTGTTTTATAAAGTACGCCGTCATTTTAAAATTTCTAATAAACGAGAATGTAAAATTAATACCGAGATCTTTCCTGTCAAAAGAAATTTAACATTCTTGATAATAACTTAACTTGAAATGATAAAATTCTCAGCGAACATACAACACTAAATGAATTGGCTTTAAATTCAAGAAGAAAAAATTCATAATTGCATAAAAAATATACACACAATCTGTTAAGTAATTATGCCATTCCTAACGTATTATGGACTTTTGAAAAACAATTTGTTTCGCTCAAATCCACGACCGCAGGAAAATACATGATTTGGGGAGGAGGAAAGGCTTGTATTCATATATGCATTCTATAATCCG